GCAAAAATTTAGCACGAACACAAGTATGGTCAAATGAGAGTTGTTTCTAGTTCCTAAGCACGTGAGGCCTTAATTAGGAACTAGCTTGAAGCTGTGGCATTTCCCTGACGTGAGCTCACCTGTTGGCTTGTCCACCTGCCTTGATCCCAGATGCAGTGGCTGTCCTGCCTGCCCCTCAGAACCTCTCTGTACAATCGACCAACATGAAACATGTCTTGACATGGAGCCCGGTGGTCGTGCCTGAAGAAATAATACACTATTCTGTCGAGTACCAGGGGTGAGTTTTGTTTTGTTTTGTGTTTTTTCCCTTTAGGCAGTAGTTAATTCCTGGAGGCCCATCCCTCATCCCTGAGCTCCAGAAGGCACTGAGGGCCCAGGGAGAGATGTCCCATGATCTGCCCCCTCTGTCTGCAAGGGCAGTGAGAGGGTTGAAGCAGCGAGGGAAATTGCCCTGTGGATTTGACAGTGGGCTCCCCGGAAACACGATATGTATAAGCACATTTTGGTGAGGCTTCTTTTCAGCAGTGAGTCAGTCCCATGCTGAAGAAAATCTTAAGAATAAATCAGTTTGACTCTGAGTTAAGGTGGAGAAATCACTGGAGACTCAGATCCTTTGGGGGTGGTGGAGACCTCAGCTTTCCTGACTGCGAGCCTGCCCCTAGGGACCAAAACAAATCATGACCCTGTAGGTCAGCCGGCCCTTCTCCAGGTGTCCCAGCCCTCAGAGCTGTTGAGGAGTGACAGGGACACAGGAGGCGCTCTATGTATTTCACTAACAATGAATACAAACTGAGCACCTACGCTGTGGAGACATTCTCCCGTACTCGGGTACCGTCGACAAAATTTCTGGATATAGGGAGCTTACATTTAGAGGAAGAGGCCATAAAAGGGTAAAGAAATAAATATACTAAGTCTGCACTGTCCAGTGTGGTAGCCACTAGATACGGATAACTATTCAAACTTAAATTAAATTAAATTTAAAAAATCAAATTAAAATGTTTCCCTGTCATATGAGCCACACTTCACGTTCTTAATGGCTGCACGTGGATAGTGGCTACCATACTGAACAACACCGAGACAGCATTGCCACCAGCACAGAAAGTTCTGTTGGGCAGCACTGCTCCGGGTGAGTTAAGACAGAAATCAGCACTAGGAGGAAGCTTAAAGTCTGATGCAACAGAGTTGACTCTGAGGCAGCTTTTTATTAGGTGGTCAGGAAAGGTTCTAAGGTAAAAAGAGCTTGGCTTGTTGGAGGAAGGGCGAGGAGAGAGCAGCATGTTAAGGGGTGGAGTGAGAGAGGAGCCCGGAGAGTCTTGCAGGCCACGGGGGAGAGTCTGGATTCCATTCTAAGTGCCTTGGAAGCCACTAAGGAGAGAAATGTGATGCTCTGCTGCGTGATGAACAGTTTAAAGAATGGCAGGAATGGAAGCAGGAAAATTAGTCAGGAGACACAGCAGGGGAAGGGATGCAGTGACTGAGACTGGGGTGGTGACCAGGCAGATGGAGAGACCAGGACAGGTTGGGGTTTAAGCCTAGGTTTCCCTTGCCTGGCGAGAAAAAGAGTGAGGAAGAGTGGGTGGTGGGTGAGGGACGGGAGGGGAGGAACTAGAGTGTGGAGCAGAATCTTCTTCTGACCCATAAAAAGTAGGTGAATGAGACAGTTTCTTGCAACGACCACTGAGCCCGGGTCAAAGGGGCTGGTGTGACGCTTCCCCTCCTCTCTTTGGCCAGAGAGTACGAGAGCCTGTACATGAGCCACATCTGGATCCCCAGCAGCTGGTGCTCCCCCACTGCAGGTCCTGAGTGTGACATCACGGACGACATCACTGCCACTGTGCCCTACAACCTCCGCGTCAGGGCTGTCCTGGGCTCACAGACCTCAGCCTGGAGCACCCTGAAGCAGCCCTTTAATCAAAACTCGAGTAAGGCCCTTCTCTCCTTCCTCCTCTGCCCCCACCAGCCTCCCGTTCACTGAGGGTTTGGGGATTCTTTTTAGCATCAAATTAAGCTTGCAAATCCAGGGAGAGTATTGGGGAAGTAAGCAACCATGACTGGTCCATTTCAAATATTGCCAGCTGCTTCCCACAGACCGTCTTCTCTCATTTTGAGAGAAACTTTGGAAGTCATTCCTGTCTCTGGAAGGAACGCTGATCTGGAAGAGAGGAGAAGGGGCTAGGACAGCCTCTCTCTGCCCTGGCAGTGCCTCCCATCCGGCGCCTCATTAACCGCATCTTCGCTGCCGGTGTCAGCATCCTCTCTGTGCAACAGGGGTGATGCATTAACAGACAGACAGAAACAGTCCCTTGGAAATAAATGACTTTTTCATACCGACAGAACGTGGAAAATGATTAAGAAGTAAGGGAAGACTCCAGATCGGTGGCCAAATATGGCAGAGTGCAAACAATGACGGCTGTGTAAAAGTGTGTGTTGGCGGGGGTGGTGGGGGTGCGAAGGGTGGCAGTGGGAGCAAGTGCTGGGTGGCCGGGGGTAAGGAAGCAGCTGGTCACATGGCAAAGGGCTTTGACCTAAAGCCTCATCAGCTCAGCAGAAGTGGGTCATGGAAGAACAGAGGGTCTGGGCTGGGTCTGTCTTAGAGAACAATCACTCTGGCTGTAGTGTGAAAAGTAAATGTGGCAGGACAAGCCTGCAGGGCAGGGGAAGAGTGAGGAGGCTGCTGTAACCCCTAGCTGAGCCCGGGTGGGTCCTAACCCCAGGAGTAGGGGAGGGCATGGGGAGGAGAGGACAAGTTCACAAGGCATGGCTGAGTTAGAAAAGACAGAGCTTGAAAACCAGTTACTGGGCGACAGAGATAATGGAGGACATAATAATAGTGTCCATCTTCCCACTGGGGTTGATGAGAATGTCATCCAAGGCAGAGAACCCAGGAAGGCAACTGGTCTTGAGGAACAGGAGATACTCCTGCCTTTGGGCTCTTTGAGATTGAGATTCCTATAAGATAACACGCCACAAATGTCTGGCAGTTGGAAATCAGGCCCCGGGGCTCAGACAGATCAAGGTCAGACACACAACACAAAATTAATAGCTAGTGGCTTGGGAGCATGTGAGATTGTCCCGGGACAAGATATGAGGGCAAAGAGGACCAGTACAGGATCCTGGGAAACCTCTGATTTAAAAAGAGGACAGAGGGAAGGACGCCAGTAGGTGGCTGGGCAGGGAGAGGGTCGTGGGAGAACAGACAGCAGGTGACCGGCCTGAAGGAGGCCCCTAAATGGGTCCTTGAGAAAGTGGCTTCACGGAGCAATGGGGATGTGATCAGGTGCCGGCTGGACGGTTGCGTGGAGGTGGGAAGGAGCATGGCTGTGGCAAGGTGTGACCCATTCAGAGATGCAGGAGAGGCAAGGGAAAGGCCTTCAGTGAATTCTGTTTTCTCAGTGTGGCGGGTGCTCCCCTGCTGTGAGTGGGGACAGAAGAAATTTTGGGGCGGCATCTACAGTAATGGAACGAGTCAAATGTTACTGAGGAGTGTAGGAGATTGAGTAGAAATCAGGAAAGTTTAGAAGGTGGGGGAGCCCATGCTGGAAAGGGGCTGAGGAAGGTGAAGATAGATTTGAAGGGAGAGTTGGTCCTCCAGAGTCAGACAGATGTGGTTCAAATCCCAGCTCAGCCCCTCGATGGCTGGGTCTCTGCCCACCCCTCTGTAAGAAAGGCAACGGTTTGCCTCACTGGGTAGTTGTGGGCAAGATGAGATGTGTAAATACTCAGGGCAGTGCTCTCCTGTCATAGCACCCAGCTGTTAGTAAGTGTTATTATTATTGTTATTGCCCTAGGGATGCCCAGAGTTGAAGGCCAGAGAGCAGAGGAAGGAGGGAAGAGGTGGGGGCAGGAATGAGACCTTGGAGTGGGACACCGATAGGAGTTTTGGTGCAGAATGCGGGCTCCTCTGCCCAGGGCTCTTTCCCTAGGCACCAGGAGGACACGGTGGAAGTAGTGGGATCGCAGCGCCAGGCACTGGGGGAGCCTGAGGGACACTGGAGGGTGGTGCAGCTCTGCCTCTGCCCGCAGTGCCCAGGAGGCACCAGCACCACCTCCCTCTTGCTTCTGGAAGCACAAGGCTCCAGCTGAGATCATTGCTGGGGGCTGGTGGCTGTTGTTGGAAAGGAAGGCAAGGGGCATTTGGAAATAAGGAAGTGTGGCGGGTGTGCAGTAATGCTGGAGAAAGCCAACATAAACAGGGAAGGACTCGCTGCACAGGGGGAGCTGCGGAGCAAAAGCCTCTCTACCTGCGCCAAGAGCAGAAAATGCCGTCCTGTGTGGTCCCTGTGCAGGTGGAGTTAGCTGCAGAGCTGGGATGGAATCGAAACTCTGAAGAGTATTAAGTCTGTTCTTTGGCCTTTGAAAAAGATCACCCTGACTTCTTCTCAGACATGTGAAAAATCTTGTTTTAAGGCTTTCCTGAAAAAGAGCTCCTGCTCTTAAAGGGAAGCCTTTGTTGAGGGCAGAAGCTCTTAACTTTGATTGCATGAAGTCAAGTCACAGGAAACTTTAGAACCACTTATCTCTGGGACTCATCCCCAGAGTCTGATTTAAATGATCTATGTACATTCTGTTCACTGGAAATTAAAAGTTCTCCCCAGGTTAATCTCAGAGTTGAGATCCTCTGGCACAGTGCTAAACAGCCGACACAGCAGAGTCTAGAAATGTGGAAAGACATGGGCTCAAATTCTGACCGTTAACTGGGTGATTCTGGGAAAGTCACTTAACCTCTCTGAGGCTCAGTTCCACCATCTGTACAATAGGAACAGTATTTACCTTCTTACGCATGCTGGATGGAGTAAGTATGTTGATTACAAAGGACAGAGGTTCCTGCCCCAATACTGTCAAAAAATTCTCTGAACTGAAATGATTTTGGGCTATTTTCTCTAATTCTATTCTTAACAAAAATAGAGATCAGGGGATCCACTTCTAATCATGTTTGACTTAAAACTGGAAGGGTCAAACATCTCTCTTTCTGCTAGAGTTGTTTCAAAGGTAGGTCATATGAAGCCTCTGAACTGGGTATATTTTACTGGGTTGGTCCCTGACTTCCTGAGTCCTCCTGTCCCCTATTCAGGCAGCTCTTCAAATGCCAGGAAATGCTTTGTTCTCTGAAAGCTCTCTGCAGGAACTGCCTTTCTTTTGAGTATCCACTGACACCAGAGCAGGAGGATTTAGCCCAGAACACACTCCAGTCTACTTCCTAAGCCAAGGCCCGCAGTCGGGGTGGCCTTCTGGTCCTGCAGAGTCTGGATCTGAGAGGCACGTCTGGATCCATCATCAGTAGCCAGGAGCTAAAGACTGTCTGTGGGCCCTTCTGTTCTTGGTCTGCTGATGGGACAGTATCCTTGAGGGCTGCTGGCCTCTCTGGGATCCAATTATATGAAAGATAATATTTGTGTTTATGCTGTAATTTCTAGAGGTGATTATTGGAACTTGTAAAACCCTCTGATTTTTCAACATCCCCCATGAAGGATATGAGATGAATAATCTTTGGGTGGAGAATAGAAAGGCCAACCCATCCACAGGCTGCTGATTTGCTGGAGTTTGAATGTTATCAGCAGCCTGTCTATATCACTGATCTATGGGAATTGTAGTAAGTTGCTGTTGCTTGTTTCTTCCACTTGCTCATTGTTCATTTGCTGTACTGAGCACTTGCTGAGTACAGGAGAGGACTGGTGTACATGCTTCTGCATGCTGTGAGGCCACACCCAAACCCCTCCCTTCCCACAAGCCTGGCCTGTTTCCACCGATGACTTGGTCATGGTGTTCTTGAACAGAAATCAGTCCTGTCTGGAGCTGGCTCTGATTCTCCCCTTATCTTGCCAACAGCCATCCTCACCCCACCTGGAATGGAAGTCACCCAGGATGGCTTCCACCTGGTTATTAAGCTGGAAGACCTGGGGCCCCAGTTTGAGTATTTCGTGGCCTACTGGAGGAAGGAGTCCGGTGCCGAGGTGAGATGTCTGGCCTTTCCCTTTGAGTTAGACTTTGGGGACGAAGTCACAGACCTCTGAGAGCTGGGTGAGGAAAGCCAGCCTCTGCATTGTGTGCTGTCTCGGGTGGCCTGAGGGTGAGCAGGCCTGGGTGAAGTGTGAGAAAGGAGGGATGGGAAGAAACTGACAATCCCCACAGCTTTGTCCTCAAAGGACTGCCTTGTTCCAACCCAGACCTTGGCTGGCGCCTTCCCAGGCCAGATTTGCTGAAGTCTGGGGGCTGCCTCCTTGCCCTGAACTCTAACATAGTCGGATCCACGATACCTTTTCAGCGCATTTCTTCTCCCTTATCTGTGTGTCTTTTTGGCCATTCTCCCTGGCATGTTTAGGACCAGGGTGCTCCAGATCACCAGGATGATTTCAATAGTGTAGGAGGTTGGCACAAACCTCTGGAGGGTGTGTCTTTGGGTGGGGTGCAGAAGTTGGGGCAGAGAGCCAGGAGCTGACTTACGAACAAATCTTTTTATGAGTGGGTGGGTCGCCCAGAATGCCTAAATGGGGTGCTGCCCATCCCGTGGGATGTCTGCTGCAGGCTGGGCTGGGTGGGAGGTCAGCTCTTTCAGAGGGAGGGGCCAAACATCCTGCAGCCGCAGCCACAGAAGGGGTGGGGATTGAGCAGCCCTGTGGAGGCCCTGTCCCCACGGACATGGTGACAAGGCCGGCTCCAGTTGATACAAGGGGAAATAGGCTTTATCACAAGGATGAATACGGTGCAGTAAGGGGCTCTCACAGACTGCACAGAGCGGGCCCAGAGCCGGGCTGCTGCACTGCCTCACTTACGCAGGGATCTGGTGGAATCCTCACTGCCCTCTGGTGGGCCCTCTCTCCCCTCTTTCCCTGACCGCCTCCCCAGCTTACCCCCAGGCCCTGATCCCTCACACTCCTTCCTGTGCATGCCTGTGGCTATCAGACCCTTACTGGGCCTGACTACCCCCCACCATGTCCTCTCCCCTTGGTCCCTGCTTCTAGCTACAGGTATTCAGTTCCCCAAGACCAGTTCCCAGGAAAGGAAATGTGACTGGTCCTGCTTATCTTATCAGGCCAAGCCTCTGGATTACTAGTTGCTGGCCAGGCTCTGATAGACCCTTCTCAGGCCAAGGGTACCCCTGATCTAATGACACTGCCTGAGAGACAGGGCGTGTGGCCCACTCATCAGGGGATGGGGGTTGGGTAGCTTCACCTGGAAGGTGATACGTGTCGGTGAAATGGGCCATAGCAATGGTTTCCAGTATTTACTCCTATTGGGCTAGCCAGGGCCCTGTGGTAGAACATGGCATTGCCAGCCAGGCAGATGGAGTGGTGGTCAGGGACAGATCAGGGCCTGGGCTGGAAGGAGCAGGCAGATCCCTCCGATGCTTTGGGAGGCATGGGGCTGGTGCTGGGGGAGGAGCATGTACCCTGAGTCACCTGGGCTTGGCCCATAGGTTCAGACATGGAGCACAGGCCTTGGAGGGTAGGTGGGGGTGGAGGGGTATGCAGACGGATGGATAGACACACTGGACTGATGGGTGCGTGAGGAGGCACTGCCCACTGGCTCCACTGCTTCCGTGCACTGATCCCCTGGGCAGCAGTGGTCAGGCCACGCCCCTGGTCATTTTATGACCTTCAGGTCTCTGTCCAAACATTATGCTGTTGGAGAGGCCTCCTCTGCCTGTCTTCTAGTGTTTCCTCATTGCTCTCTCCCTGCCTGCCCTGCTTCATTTTCCTTCATAGCCCAACATCACCACATGTGTTCTACGTTGTCTGTCTTCTCCCACATAAGCTCCCTAAGAACAGGAACTTTGTTTTGTTCAATGTCCCAGTGCCTACAACAGTGCCTGGCCCCCAGTAGGTGCTAAAGAATAAAGAAATAAATACGAATGAATGAGGAACATTCTGTTTGCATCCTGGAAAGAAATATTTGCAGGTTTCCTTCCCTCCCCTCTCCCTCTTTCCTGTCCTGCTTCCCTCAGGGTGTCACTATTTTTTGGTTCCTAAAGGAACACGTCAAGATGGTGATGAATGGGGGTGTTCCAGTGCACCTGGAAACCATGGAGCCAGGCTCTGCCTACTGCGTGAAGGCCCAGACCTTCGTGAAGGCCATTGGGAGGCACAGTGCCTTCAGCCAGGCGGAATGTGTCAAGGTGCAAGGTAAGGCTGCCTGTCTGTCCCTGCAGCCCCACCTGGGTCACACCCCCTCTTGGGGGATGCTCAGTGCCGTTGCTTCCTCTGGTTCCGAGTCTCCCCTCCCACCTAGGTGGGGTGGGTTCCCGTGGTCCACCCTACGGCTGGGCAGGGGTCACTTGGCAGCTGTCTGGGATACTTTCCCCTGAAGGGTCCCAGGGCCTGAGGCCAGACTTTGCAAGGCTGGGTTAGTGGGTGGCAGCTGCCTGTGAATCAGAGGGGTTTGCAGGTGAGGCCGCCAGGGGCCTGAGAGTCAGGCCTTATGAGGACGTAGCCCACCGTATAGCACAACTGCTCTCAGCTGGGAGAGGCCTTGTGGAAAGTCTACAGAATCCTCTTGTTTGACTTAATTTTTTTCCCCTGAAGTTTTTATAGTCTAAAAACTTACGATGAAAAGAAACCAAACCAAACCAAACCCCACATCCTGTGATCCTGCCACACAAAGCCACTAGTGACATTAGTGTCTAACTTTTTAGTCTTTAAAAAATTATTATTTTGAATATTTGATACATTTATACGGTTCAAAAATATGATAAGATACACATGGAAACTCCTTCCTCCCCTTCCTTCTCAACCATATAATCTGCACCCCTCCCCCACAGGTATTAGCTTTTTGTATATCCTTCTTTTAAACACATTTACAAGCAGATGAGAATATATTTTTATATATTTCCCTTCTTTTTAGCACACATGGTAGCATGTTCTATGTGCTGTTCTGGATCTTGTCTTTTTCACTTTATATATGTTGTAGATTTTTCCACATCTATAAAGAACTTCTCCATCCTTCTTTACAGCTACATAGTATTCCATTGTATGTACATATGACTAATTTAATGAATCCTCTGTTGATGGGCATTTAGTTTTTTTTCCCAATAGTTTACCATTACATCCAATGCTTTAATTAATTACCTTGTACACAGATCATTTGCTGGTGTATTTGTAGGATAAATTCCTGGAAGTAGATTTGTTTGGTCAAAGGCAAGCACATTTGAATTTTGACTGCTGTTTCCAAATTACCCTTGAAAGGGGTGTTATCCTTCATATGGACACATGTCATAGTTGTATTATATAAACACTTTGTGCCTGCTTTTTTGTTATTATCATTTTTTTAATTGAAGTATAGTCAGTTACAATGTGTCAATTTCTGGTACACAGCATGTGCCTGCTTTTTTTTTCTTTTTTAAAAATATCATATCCAGAACATTTTCCATGTAGATTTTCTGACAACCATTTTACACTACTTTTTAAAACCATGCAAGCCAAGCTTGTTAAAAAATTCAAATGACACAGAAGTGTAAAATAAGAGGTACATGTTCTCCATTCTCCCTCACACCACCCAGAAGATTTCTTTTGGCAAATTTGGCATTTAATATTCCAGTCACTGTGTTATACCAGTACTCACAGGCACAAATGGGACTGTACTGTGCTCACTGTTCTGTGCCTCACTTATCTTCACCTGGAGTCTATTGTGAACATCTTTTCATGTCAGTGCATATGGATCCACCTCATTCTTAAGGAGGACGCATAACAAGCCAATATATGGATGTGCAAAATTATATGTAACCATCCCCCTGTTAATAGGCATATTCTGTGCTTTCTAGTCTTTTGCTGCTACAACCCATGCTGTAATGAGCAAGCTTATATATGTCCTAATTCTCATTTTAATAGCCAACTCCTAACCTGCCATGCTGATCCTCCATAATGTATTCAATCATCCTCTATTTTGGGGTATTTAGATAATTTCTATCTGCTTTTGAAGATGATGTTCATTCACTGATACATTCATTCACTTAGTGAATAATTACTGAGCACTGACTCTGTGCTAAGTGCTGGCCCTGTCACTGGGACACAGCAGGGAAGTCTCTGCCCTCACAGAGCTTACCTTCTGGCTGGGGAGACAGAGTGCAAATCAGTAAGCAAATGAGATGGTTTCACTTGGTCCTACGCGCTCTGAGAAGACACACCAGAGCATGCTGGGGGCGGCGGGAGGCGCAGGTGTTCTGCTTTGGGCAGAGAGAGAGAGACTGGTTATGAGGCTGCTGCTCTGGTCCAGATACCGCTGTGAAACTGCTTTATGCATATAATTGTTTCCTTCCTTGGAACTATCTTTTTGGAATCCACTCACAGGAGTAGATGAAAGGGTATGAACATTTGTACATCTCTTGATGTGTACTGCCAAAATAGTTTCGGAAAGCACTGAAACAAACCACGGTGCCCCCAGCCACACGGGAGAGCCCACTAGCCTCTCCGAAGCCTCGCTGGCTGGCTGGGCCACCGTTCACATGGTGGGTGAGCAGTCCAGCCCAGAGGGGCTAAAGAACTGCCTGAGGTTCCACAGGACAAGAGAGATGGGAAAATAATCCATCCTTCCTTCCGCATCTCCAGACGCTCAGACTTGGCACTTTCTGACACATCACTTAGTAGAATGTGGAGCCAGTCCTACCTGTGTGACCTGGGGTAAGTCACTTAACCATCGGAGGGGCTTGATATATCAGAGTTATTATGCGACTGTGTTCTGAACTCAGTATTTTCCTCCACAATGTGAATCAGTGCCAAGAGCAAATTGTGAAACACACTTTTTTTTTTCAGTTACCGCCCAGCTCCCTTCTGTGCTGCTCACTCCTCCTCCTGCCCGGGGCCTTCACAGACGAAGCTCCTCCTTTTCCCTTCCCCAGAAAAAGATTGTAATCTTCCCTGGGGCTTTCTGGAAACCAAGCCTTCACCTGGATTCTAGGAAAATGGTCTTAATGGTGGAAATTTTTGTCATAAGACATCCATCAAACCTCGGGGTGCTGGCATTTGCTGTCTTGGCTGGTCTGCAGAGCCAACGACGGGAGAGTGCGGGAGGCCCAGGATCGGCGAGTTCATCTTCACTGTTGTCTCCTGAACTGCTTGCTGTCTTTCTGTTTCCAGGAGAGACCCTGCCCCTGGCGCTGGCCCTGTTTGCCTTTGTGGGCTTCACGCTGATCCTTGTGGTTGTGCCGCTGTCCGTCTGGAAAATGGGCCGGCTGCTCCGGCACGCCTGCTGCCCCGTGGTGGTGCTCCCTGACACCTTGGTAACTGTGTTCTTTTCTCCTTTCTGCGTGATACTGACCAGATGTAGTTTGAGCCTGAGTGGGACAGGGACACATGATTTGTGAGTTTACAAGCGTTGGCACAAAGAGGGGAGAGAAGCACTTATAGGACTTCCCTTCTAACCAGAGGGGCAGGCTGGGAGACCGCCCTTCTCCAGGGAGTGGTGGCCTTCCTCAGGCTCCCTTCCGGCCGCCGGTCCTTACCTTCAGGGCCTTGCCCAGCCCAGGAGGTTTGGCATTTCAGGACTCATGCACAGTCTTACTGGACCAGCCTGCTGAATGTTCTTGGCCCCATCCTATCACTATAACAGCAGCTCCATCCAGTAACACTTTCCAACACAACATATTCAATTCATGCGCCAAGAGCCTCCTTGGTTCTTGGGGAGGGGGCATGTGTGTGAATGTGGGGTGCACATGCTTTGCCTTTGGGGGCTGGGGGATAGTCTCAACCTGCGCAGTGACCACCCAAGGTTGGGGATGTCCCCCAACGTCTCACAAGCCAGGTTTCTTATCTTATCCTAAAGACCCTGGGCCACAGGTCTGAGTCACCCCAGTGGGTGAAAAGCCAGGGTCCGGGAGAAGCAAAAACAGGCCTCCGGAGCTTCGGGCACATTCCGTCTGTCTGCCTCCCCCCACCACCTCAGACCTCAGAACCCAAAGCAGTGCAACTAAACACAACAAAACCATAACAAAAGCAAACCCATCCTCTCACCTCAGGGATTTCTCACAGTTCTCTCCTGGGAGGAGGGGTTAGCAGCTTCTCAGAAGCACCCAGAACCACAAGGTCCTGCAAACTACACATCTGTGTAATTCCTTATCCGCCTGGAGTCCCTCTGGAAGGAGGCCCTCCTGGGAAGTCTCCTGGCCCTGAGGGCATGGGCCGTGCTCCCCCTTCACAGGGGGATGAATCCTCCCTGCAGCCCAGTCCTCAGGACCCCGTCCCCCAACCCTATTATCCTTTCTTTCCGGGACTTCTAGGGAGTCACGACTTTAGGGGACAGTAGCCCTAACTAGGGTTAAGGGCCAGGCACCATTCTAAGACTTTACTTATATTGGCTCACTTCATTTTCCCCTTTCCATGATGCTTACCAACCAGTGTACTTTGCGTCAGTTTCCCTCCAGCCCCTCCGGATGACTGAACGGTTTACTGCGGAACATAAAGGCAGTGGGATGTATCGGACACGGGGGATGGTGGGGGGTGGGGGGTGTTGCGTTCCCTTCAGCCAGAACATGAGGGGCTCAGGGCTCCTTGCAGCATGAAAGGATGTGTATTTTGCAGTTGTTGGGGTGATGTTTGATAGGTATAAATTGGGCCAAAATGTTTGATGACGCCATTCAGATCGTCTTTGTCCTTACTGATTTTTTTTGATGTAGTTCTATTGGTTATTGAGAGACACCAAAAGTCTCTAACCCTGAGTGTGAGTGTGTCTGATTCTCCTTTTATGTCAACTTTTCCTTCATGTACTTAGGTGCATACATATTTCTGATTGATAGGTCTTCCTGAGTCACTGAGTCTTTTTATCAGCATGAAATGTCCCTCTTTATCTCTGGCAGTATTCCTTCTCCTGCTATCAACGTAGCCCTTTTTTTGTTTACTATTTGTATGGGGTGTCTTCTTCCATATTTTTACCTTAAACTTACCTGTGTCCTCAGATTTAAAATCTCTCTTGAAGTCTCTTGAAGCAGCATAGAGATTTTTTTCTTTTAAATAAAGCCATTCCAACAACCTCTGCCACTTAATTGGAACGTCTAGTCCATTAACGCTTACCTCTGGTCCTCTCACTTTCTAACTTCTGTGTTTGCACCCATATCTGTTTTCTGCTTCTTCAAGCCAGCAGGACTGTCACTGTTCATGGCACCAAGAGAAACCTGCCTGCAGACCCAGAACTGTAAAAAAAAAAAAATGTGGGAAACTCACCCAGAGACATTCCCTTCTTCCAAGTGTCAACTTTGGGTTGCTTTCCAGTGACTTAAAAAAGTTGGCTTTGTATCTTGATCAGGTTTTAAAATTGATCTGGTCTGATGATTGCTCCTCTGTCGTGAGTGGAAGCAGAGCTGGGTAATAAAAGAAGAATCCCTGAACGAACCCAGAACGGTGATGATGACAGTGATGATGGGAGGGGCATTCCTGGCTCAGCAGGTTTCAAGCTCTTTTCCCTGTACATGGTGAAGAGCTCAGCCTCCTTGGCTGGACTGCATCTGGTAGTCACCCTTTTTGGCTTTCCTCTCAACTCTGTTGCCCATGCTCTTGGGCTATTCCATTCTTAACACCTTCCCTTGTTTTCTCTCTTCTGGTCCTACATTCAGTGACCCAGCGGAGTTTCCTCCTGACATGAGGGTCAGGGGGCACTCGGATCCGCCCAAGACTCAGTACGTTGTTAGGAAGCCACAGAGTAAAGGGCCAGAGAAGAACCATATAAAGGGTCCGTTATAGAATTTCAGGTGCACAAGAAAAGCCCTCAAATGGCAAGCGCTCCTAGGAATCCTAATGCATTATGAGCCACACCTTAAAAATAGCTTTTGGAGGAAACCAAGCAGCTAAGATGAGACCAAGAGACAAGGAGATTCTATGAGAGAATGACCACTTTCGTCTGGGGAGACAGATGCCACGCCTCTTGGCCACCTTTTGCGTCTCTGTTCTTCTTACCATCCTTCCAACGTTGTCCCAATGTCTGTTCCAGAAAGCTTTTAATTTTTATTCTGTTTCTCCCCAGATTTTAAAGTGGACAGTGTCTCTGCATATATGCCTTTCCCACAGTGCTGTGTGAGAAACAGATCACTAGTGCCCCTCAGACCCCAGATAGGTCCGGGAGCCACGCATCACCACCGCCATCTGCTCCCCCTCAGCCCTTGACTTTAGTAGAGCCTCGCTACACTTCAACATTTGCATTCGTTATAGGCAATCCTCTCAACTATTAAAAAGCAGCTTCCAGCCAACCTGGCACAATCCACACATCTTTCCAATTAAACCATGGAAAATTACCAAGTGGAAATCCTTGACAAGGCTTCGAAAAGTCTGATGGGTTTTGCAAGTGTTGGTCTGTTTGGATTCAACATTTCATGTCCACATCTATAACTTTATGGTTGGTGATGGTTGCCCTCTGAAGTATACCATTAAAAATGCCTTTCCATTCAAGTTGGTATCACCAAGGAGAATTCTAAAGCAAAAATGTACATGCAAGGAAAACGACATTAGGACCACTCAGTGTGTATTCCCTATTTTAAAAGATATTGTCTTTTCCCTGTCTTTCATCCATAATTGCTTCATGGGGGTGGAAGCTCTGGAGCTAGAGGGTCTTCCTTTCCTTTCTCTGACTCACTTTATTCTTTCTCCTCTTGCTGTCAGATTCCACTGGACTATGGGCAGCAAGCAGAAGGATGGCCTCACGTTAGTCATTCTTTGATGAACCATCCCAAGTCTGACTTTGTGTGCTTCACAGAAAGTGGGGTTTGTGAGCTCAGATGCTTCTGGGACCCAGACAAGTGCAAAAAAAAGGGGGGGTGTATGGTGCAATAAATGTGATGTAATAGGGAGAGATGTGGGGACCGTGGCAAAAGTGTCCCAGCTGAAAAAGCAGCTGCTTCTCAGGTTCAAGCAGTTTACTGCCAGGAGAGCATGGGAGCCAGAGCTACCTGATCTCCAAGTTTGAAATGAGAAAACTAGAAATGAGAAACTAGAAATCCAGATTTTTCGAATACATCTGAATTTTAAATTTTAAGAACTAATTCAAACGAAAAAAAATAGACATCAGCTGAACCTCGCTTGAAAGTTTGTTCTAACCTGTGGGACAACAGTTTTGTACCTCCTGAAATTCTCAGATGGTGCTGTTTCACTTTAATGTTCTAGAACTACGCCGTCCAGGACGGTAGCTGCTAGCCACGTGTGGCTATTAAATTCTTGAAATATGACGAGGCTACATCAAGATGTGCTGTAACTATAAAATACGTGATACATTTTGAAGACAGAACAAGAAAAGTGTGAAATATTTTATTAATATTTTTATATTGATTACATGTTGACATAATATTTATTTTTAAAGCAAAATATGCTCTTGAAATCAATGTCACCTGTTTCTTTTTACTTGCTAAAATGTGCTACTGGAGAATTTTTTATTGCCTGTGTATCTCACATTATACTTCCACTGGACAGCGCTGCTCTAGAGTTTAAAGAGCAATCGAGTTTAAGTACTGCAGATTTAGGCAGCCAGTGTCCTGAGAATCTGACGGGGCCTGGTAGCAGTGACTTGGTGGCAGGCTTCATTAGTGAGCCCTGCTTGTACATTGTCCCTTACTGTGATTCGCCCATGGACACTAGGCAGGAGCCTGCAGCCGCCTCTTTACAAACAAGATCAAGTCTGCAACTGATTCGATGAAGCAGGAGGTGGGGACTAGGGTGGAGGAAGCCATTGTGCCCACTTATCTGTGCCCAGTGCCCCTCTTCAGAGTGATGACGGGAGGGGCTGTGGGAGAAGCTGTGAAAGAAAGACCCCCGTGAGTTTGGTGGAGGCCAATAGGCTAGCGACACTGGGGAGAGCCACCCTGAAAGGTTGATACATGCGTTTTTACAACCAGTGATGATGATGTGCTGGGGTCTCTGGGAGAGGACGGCAGAACATTATTTCACAAATAGCAATGAGATGTTTGTGTGTACAGAGAACCATCCCTGGACTGGGCACCCTTCAATGCTGCATAGGGAGCACCTCAGGCCAGGTCACTATTCTCAGAGCTCTCTGGTGGGAGAAGGTTAGATTTTTTTGGACCAGAATTACATTCTGGGCTCTTGGGGGGGGCAGGATCCCAGAGAGAGGAGCACCTAGGAAGCAGGGCCCCAAGAGATCTGATCTCAGTAAATGCTGGAAGCCCCTGATGGAGGCGTGGGAATTGTCTTTGGGCTCTTTTTGCTGCTTGAAAGTCAATGAATCAAATAGTCCAACTATTTTGGGATATCTACAACTACTATTACTCTGACTATCCATCTAATGAATATGAATGAAAATTATTTTTCAGAAAATAACCAGTTCACCCCAGAAGTTAATCAGCTGCAGAAGGGAGGAGGTAGAAGTCTGTGCAATGGCCGGGCTGTCTTCCAAGGAGCTCCTTGGGGTCTTCATCTAGCAGGCTGGGGATGGGGCCCAGCTGAAGCTGGAAATTGTGGTCTGCATGACACAGGAGCCTCGAGGGGAAAGTCCTTGTTGCTGTTTTCCTCCATGAGCAAAGGACAAGAGAAGAGCCTGCTGTGCTCCTGTCCCAGAAGCAAATGTCTGAGGCAGGGTATTGTGGCAGCCGGAGCGCTGAGTGCAGGTCAGGAGATGTGACCTCTGGCACTGGATCTATCTGTCATGTACTGGTGGAATGACCCTGGGGATAGTGACTGTCTCTCTACTCCTCAGTTTTCTCATCTATAAAATGGGAGGGGATTGACTACACAACAATTAAACCCTATGTATATACAGCCACATTGTCTCCCCGCCACTAGCAGAGCTGTCTGGAAATTGACAACACTGTACATTGTGACAGTTCAGCTTCTCTGAAGAGCTGTCTATACATGTGTAACGAGAATGATCCAAGGCTCTATACACCTGCTGGCTTGGAGAGCCCACTTTTCTAGCAGAACCTTGAAGAGGAAAGGAAGGATGGGTACAACGGGGTGGACTTCACTTCAAGCCAAATGCCTGCAGAGAGGTGACTGAATGGCTCAGCCAGCTCTACAGTTCATGACCTGGAAGGAGGCCACAGCCCCACTGAAAATGGATGTTTGCGGACACTCAGACACGTGAAACGCTGTCCGGGGTAAACAGCGTACACCCCGAGGACAGCGCTAAAATGCATGTGCTTGAGGAGATGCGCCTGCAGGATGTCAATAAGTGTGATGTTTGCCGTGTTCCTTTTTCCTGTAGAGTTGCTAAAGGGCAGAATGAAAAATAAAAAGGGGTTGCCTTGGGTTGTCATTTGGGTTTCTTCCAAAAAAGTGGTCCTTAGTGTTCCAGTTACATCATCAACCTTGAATCCAGACCACCTGAAGGTCGCTTTTGGGTCAGGAGGTTTAACCCCAGGTAGGGGACGGGGCAGGGGAAGAGGTGGGCAGCGTCTGGCTGCGTGGGGACCCTGACAGAGACAGCCGGCCAAAGCCTCACCTGGCCAGGGTCCTCCTGGGGCTTCCTGGAGGCCTCACTCTACAAGAAATCCCTTGAGAACCTCTTTTCCCTAAGGCAGCCTTCTCAGGGTATCCTTAACAATTCCAGCTCGTTGATCAGGGCCCAGCCTCTTCCTGACCCTCTCCTCGACCTCCTGAGGAAGAATCAAAGTCACAGAAGGAAAGGAGGAGGGGCAGTTTCTTGAAGGCTGAAGCGATTGGCCAGCAAACCTGCGCCTCCCTTCTCAGACCCCGCCCCTCCCAGCTCTGCAGCCTCTGAGCCGGTTTGTCTCCACCCCCACTTCCTGGGCCCCTTCCAGCCAGTCCAGACGTGGGGCAGCCTAACTGCTTCAGCCAGGTGTTTCCCCTACAAGCTGGAGGCCCACCGCCCTCTCTCCACCTGGTGGGGGTTCAAGGAGCCAGGGGAGGGGCTCTCTCTAGATAGATTGCCGAAGGTCTTCTCCTTTGTACCATTTTGTGTGCTTTGCATTGTCCGACTCTTTTACGAAGAGTGTGTGTTAGTTTCACATTTGGCCTAAACTGGACATGTATGTTTTGTTTGCAGAAATAAAGACTCTACTACCACACCGGTCATCACCCCTTCCTCTCTTCCCTGCCCCTGCACCCGGGGGCGAGTGTCCCCCTGTCACCTGTCCAAGCCCAGAACCCAAAGATGCCCCTGACTACCTTCTGCTTGAGCTCCTCTCACAATTAGTCCCCCTGCACACCCATCTTACCCTCATATCTAGGTATACAGGAATTTCTCTCAATTATTCTGTTGT